ATGGATGGATTGATTGATTATGGATGATGGATGGAATGGACGGATAAAGTGAGTGAAATGGATGGATGATGGATGGATGGATTGATTATTGATGGATGGATGGATGAGTGAAATGGATGATGGATGGATGGATTGAATGATTATGGATGGATGGAGTGAGTGAAATGGATGGATGGATAGATAGATGGATGGATGGATTGATTGATTATGGATGGATGGATGGATGGATGGATGGATTGATTGATTATGGATGGATGGATGGATGGATGGACGAATGGAGTGAGTGAAATGGATGGATGATGGATGGATTGATTATGGATGGATGGATGGAACAATAGATGGATGAAACAACAATGGATGAATAGAATGATGGATGGATGGATGGATGGATGGATGGATGAGTGGGATGAAGTGGAGTACAGATTCACGACCGTTCAAACTGGGGTGGGTGTTTTTATGTTTTTTTAAGTCTCTTCTGCTCACCAAGACTGCATTTTTTGTTAAAAAATACATTAAAAACAGTGAAATATTATTATAATGTGAATCATCTGTTTTCTATATGAATATATAGTAAAGTGTAATTTATTCCTGTGATTTTCAGCATCATTACTCCAGTCTTCAGTGTCACATGATCCTTCAGAAATCACTCTAATATGAGGATCTGATGATCAACACACATTTATTATTGATGTTGTTCATATTTCTGTGGAAACTGTGATGCATTTTACTTTTCATGATTCTTTGTCAAAAAGAATCACATTTATTTGAAATCTGACCTTCAGTAAACAAACGACGAAACAATGAAATGTGTATTCCTTGCGAGCATAGAGGACACAAGAGAACGGAAAGCCAAAAGTTGTGCGACTTTCCCTAAAGAACGAGTTGATAAAGTAAGTCCGACCAACCAATCAGAGACGAGCTGACACGCGGCCCGTCTAATAGAGCGGGACGACTCTGTGGAAAGATTCAATCTGATCGAGATAGAAACAGCAGCTCCAATTTACAGTGTAAGTATCCATACGAGACGCTCGCCATGACCGTGCGATAAATAATGTGCTTTATTGCCGTCCCGTTCAAATAGAGCAGTCTGACTTTTTAATAAATGAGCTCTGTAATACTTTCTGTCAGCAAACCCTGTTAATTCCCAGCGCAGTGATATAGAGGCGGTCGACAAGCGCGCTGTCCTCCCCCGATGTCTTAATATAATGAAGGAAGTGTTCAATCAGTGTGGCTTCCCAACCGTGCATGTATTAGGTTTCAGCGCTCCAGATCCCGCAGGACGAATCCACTCCGCCTGTATTACACCTGCGCAGAGCTGACACGATAACAAGCCCAGCTGGGAGAAACACACACACACACACGTCTGGAGCAGCCCCTCGTACCACTGCGGGACACACACTCCCGGACAACTGGAGTGGAGGAACAAGGCCTCATGGAAGTGGACGTATCGCTGGGGTCAGACTGAGAGTGTGTGTGTGTGAGAGTGTGTGAGAGGGAGAAACGAGCCACAAAACATGATTCAAATGATGAAATTATGGCAAAAGGGGGTGCGTCTTAACCCTTAAGCTTAATTAATAAATAAATAAAGCAAGTAATATATATATATATATATTTTTTCATTTATTCATTCTTAGACTTAGTTATTAAAACATTATTTGTTTGTTTTCTATACAATTATTAAAAAGAATACAATTATTCTTAGGCTTATTTAATAAACATATTTATTTATTTATTTATTTAATAAGATCATTCTCAGTCTTATTTAATAAACATATTTATTTATTTATTTATTTATTTATTTAATAAGATCATTCTCAGGCTTATTTAATAAACATATTTATTTATTTATTTATTTATTTAATAAGATCATTCTTGGGCTTATTTAATAAATATATTTATTTATTTATTTATTTATTTAATCAGATCATTCTCAGGCTTATTTAATAAACATATTTATTTATTTATTTATTTATTTATTTATTTATTTAATAAGATCATTCTCTGGCTTATTTAATAAATATATTTATTTATTTATTTATTTAATCAGATCATTCTCATGCTTATTTAATAAACATATTTATTTATTTATTTATGTATTTAATCAGATCATTCTCAGGCTTATTTAATAAACATATTTATTTATTTATTTAATAAGATCATTCTTAAATAATAAACAATTTATTCAATTATTTATTTATGTATGCATTTATTAAGAACATTCTCAGGCTTATTTAATAAACATATTTATTTATTTATTTATTTAATAAGATCATTCTCAGGCTTATTTAATAAACAATTTATTCATTTATTGATTTGTTCATTTATTTATGCATTTAATAAGATCATTCTCAGGCTTATTTAATAAACATATTTATTTATTTATTTATTTATTTATTTATTTATTTAATGAGATCATTCTCAGGCTTATTTAATAAACAATTTATTCATGTATTTGTTTGTTTGCTTATTTAGGCTATTTATTTATTTATTTATTTATTTATTTATTTAATAAGATCATTCTTAGGCTTACTTAATAAACATGTATTTATTTATATATATTTAATAAGTACATAAATGAAAAAAATAACAAAATCAATCTTAGGCTTATTTCCTAAACGTTAATTTAAGTTATGCAGCTATACTTCCTTTTTCATATTTGAACAAATAATGTTTCATATAATATTTCTGAATAACGGCCGTCATGGATATAGCAGCACAGTTTTCGGTTTTCCAAAAGAAAGCTAAAAGGACAGTTCTTTGAGTTCAGTACTTCTGGACGATCTGGTATTTTAATATAACAAAATAATTCTGCATAATAACTCTCTTTACGGTGACCCAACCGTTCAGGGTTTATTTAGCTATAGTGACCAGTGGGAAACAAGAGGGATCGGTGACGTCACAGATAATGCACTGATTTGTTTACATGCATATTCTGATCATCAGACGTGAGCACAGAGTGTTTTCCGGACCAACGGTGGTCTTTCTGAAGCAGAAGCGCTCCGGGATGCTGATGTTGTAATCCCAGACTCCCGCGGCGGAGCTCCAGCTCCATCTGCTTAAACAAGGACAGGAAGAAAGAGGGAAATGCCTGAGACATGAGCCTCAGGAACCAGCCCCTTACAGGAGGATGCCCAAGAGAATACCAATTTATTAAATAACAACATATGACAATCAAACGTCCTCTGGAGCCGCTTCTGTGTGGTAAATCAACCGCAACACTGACACAACAAAAAGAAGGACTGTCCTTTTCAGTAGATTTGTCTTGATTGATTGCCAGTGCAAATACATACAATTTCTTAAATCTAGATGCATTTACTTGGGAAGGAATATGACAATGATTTTTTCAACTACACAGTATTTCAATGACTCAAAATATCACAGAAGTACTGGATAAAAGTGTATAGTTCAGATAAACACCGATGTCTACGATAGCGATCAAAATAAAGCAAATCACCTTTTGAAAGTAACGAAGTAGGTGACAGTACACCAGCAGGTGGCAACAAGTGACTGTTGAAAATGCATTTATCATTGAATCATTCACTCAAGAGATCAGTAATGATCTTTATGAGTGAGTCATTGAATCATTCAGTCAAGAGACCTGTAATGACACAAGTGAAGTCTTCATGAGTGAGTCATTGAATCATTCATTCAAAAGATCAGTAATGACACAAGTGAGGTCTTTATGAGTGAGTCATTGAATCATTTAGTCAAGAGATTTGTTCAAAAGCGCTGATTCATCCAGTAATGACACAAATTAAGTTTTTATGAGTGAGTCATTGAATCATTCAGTCAAGAGATTTGTTCAAAAGCGCTGATTCATCCAGTAATGACACAAGTTAAGTTTTTATGAGTGAGTCATTGAATCATTCAGTCAAGAGATTTGTTCAAAAGCGCTGATTCATCCAGTAATGACAAGTTAAGTTTTTATGAGTGAGTCATTGAATCATTCAGTCAAGAGATTCGTTCAAAACCACTGATTCATCCAGTAATGACACAAGTGAAGTCTTTATGAGTGAGTCATTGAATCATTCAGTCAAGAGATTTGTTCAAAAGCGCTGATTCATCCAGTAATGACACAAATTAAGTTTTTATGAGTGAGTCATTGAATCATCCAGTCAAGAGATTTGTTCAAAAGAGCTGATTCATCCAGTAATGACACAAATTAAGTTTTTATGAGTGAGTCATTGAATCATTCAGTTAAGAGATTTGTTCAAAAGCGCTGATTCATCCAGTAATGACACAAATTAAGTTTTTATGAGTGAGTCATTGAATCATCCAGTCAAGAGATTTGTTCAAAAGCGTTGATTCATCCAGTAATGACACAAGTTAATTTTTATGAGTGAGTCATTGAATCATCCAGTCAAGAGATTTGTTCAAAAGCGTTGATTCATCCAGTAATGACACAAGGGCTGCGTTCCAAACCGCATACTTCCCTACTATTTAGTATGGGAAAAAGAGTAGGCGAGCAAAAAAGTATGAATGAATCCAAAAGAGTAGGCGAGAATTACCTGGGTGACGTAGCAATTGTCGCGAGATTCGGACTTAAGTGCGTTCCAATATGCCTACTTTCCTACTATATAGTAGGCGAAAACAGTACGTGAAGGAAGCAGTACGTTCCAAACATCAGTTTTCATAAAAAGAGTAGGCGAGAAGTTCCCGGATGGCTTACTGCTTCCGCCCAGATTTTTGAGTGCTTTTCCACGGCTACTCATGATACTCATCTATCCCAGGAGGCCACGCGAGAGGATACGTCAATATCAACATCGCGGAGATAAGCGACGCGGGGGTTTTCAAATGTGAGTAAATACGGTTTAAATCGTAGCCTATGTGTTAAACTACTATAGAGTAAACGTTTTAACTGTTGAACGTCTAAAGGAGTTAGACAGTATAGTATAGTTGTGATTTTGCTGTAAACACATGTTTTATTATGTATTGATAACAGGGGAGCTCCAGTAACCGTAAAGTTACGTTTCCAATGTGTATTTACATAACCATACATCTTAAAAACGCTTATTTAAAATGTCTATTTACATCAGGAAGGAAAATATTGTATAAGTATTGCAGGTGAGCACATCCCAACATGAAAAATACATGTGTGTGCTATTATGTAGGATAATTCACTGTTGTCAACACTGCTTACATTAGACAAATTATGTGCTGTGAATAAAAACATATATAAAGTAACTAAACATGATATATATTTAATTTGTCCCTTATTGGTGTTGATATATTGAGGAACATTTAAGTTGGATTAAAAGTGAGTTAACACATCAACCTCAACATGTAAATGCAGTGTTGAGCTCGTAATGTGAATCTTGTCTGTATGTTACAGGGACAGGAGAACACGCGTGTGTTTATCCAGTGGAGAGAGGCTCATGATGCTGAATGCTGTCATCAAAGAATGGGAACCGCTGTGTTGAGTCGGCAGTAGGGTTTGGGGTTCAGTGCCTGTAAATACATGCTTGTAGTTTGAATAAAGCTGTTTCATGTGTTGACTTGTATATGCATTTGTTTATTGTGATGGTTACTTTTATTTACTTTTATTTGTTCTTTTACTCATTTATTCATGTTTCTTATTGTTGTCAGTATATAAAATGTAATTAATTTATGCATTAATTCATCGATTGACTGACAATTGAGATGTTTCACTGCATTTAGCAATATAAATGAATTCATGCATTACTGTCATATTACAAAACAAATGACATTTTGCTTGTTTTATTAAATTATATTTTTAGTATATAAAAAGTTATATAAGTATTGGTCAGCATTTAATATTATTATTTTGTTTAAGTTTTGGGGTGGGCTAACAATGAAATTCATTCTGAGGTAATATTAATTTTTAAGCAGTGATACTTACATTTTTGGAGTATAAAATCAACAGTTTTCTCCAAAAGAGATCTTCAAGCAGCTGCCCGTCTCCTTTGTGCAGACATTACAAGCGCTGTTCTAGGTTGTGCTGTCAAGTTACTGATGTTATGAAGTGTTAGAGCACCTGTCGCTCATATAATTTAAACTTATTAATATGCAAGATCATGGAAAGATACTATAGTTTATGTAACAATCATAGTGACAAAACAGAAAATATAAAGATCATTGGTTTGTGTACATCATAATATGACATAAAATTATATTTATACACAGGAAATAAGAACAATAAAAAAGGCTAAATATCTTCTTTATAGTTCTTCATAATACATAAAAAAAGTTGTTGTTATATCTGAGGGATGAAACGAGGTAAATTCATGAAGAAAAAGAGGAAAACTTAAAGGAGAAACTTTTTGGGTATAAAATAAAGAAATTAACAACATAATCAAGAGATGATGATTTTGGGGTTTCTTAATAAAAAAAAAGTATCGTTAGAATAACACTGTTGGTCAGTAGGGTTTAAAATATAACAACTTAAATCAACCCTAAATGTATTCACAAAATAAATAGGCAGCTGTTTCTTCAACAATACCACAACAAAATGAGCAAGTTTCATCAATATCAAGATATTTATAGGTAGATTAATTAAACGTATCGTTCATATTTTTTTTAATTGCATGAAGGTGTTGCGCTTGTGATAACGCGTAGTAGGTCACATGATAACGTCAACATGGCAGATGTCCGGTTCGCATTCATACTCAACGAGATTTGGCTATAAAGTACCTACTCTTTTAGCGCTCGATGAGTAAGTACTTATTGAAATTAAGTACCTACTCATTGAGTATGCGGTTTGGAACGCAGCCAAGTTAAGTTTCTTATGAGTGAGTCATTGAATCATTCACTCAAGAGATTCATTCAAAAACACCGATTCATTCAGTAATGACACAAGTGAAGATTTTTTATTTATTTTTTTTCATAATAATAATTCAAATCTAAATGACATGTTATTTCGTTTAGTTGTCTTTTCAGAATTGTGATCTCAATATTTTAAACCAAAGAATTTTTTTTTCAATGTATCCAGAATATATATTGGTTTCTGACCACGTTTTGTCACTTAATTTGCCTAAATATGTCATTTTTAAGTAATTTTGCTTCTCCATTAAATATATCTTGATTAAAAACTGTTTAGATATTTGTGCAGGAAAACATGACGGACACATTTGTTGCAGTGAGAAACTAATAAAAGCTCAAGCAGATTCTGAAAAGCGTCTTGTATTTTTCTCTGTGTTGCGATTATTTTCCTGCACTTGAACACCTTCGTCCAGCGTTGACCTTTACACGTTAGTTTATAATATTCATAACCTTTTCATGAACACGTCAGTCGACATCTGCCGTCCGTTCAACAATCCACGCCTCGTCGCCGGGTCGCGAACACAAGCGTGTTTTCCTCGTGTGAGATGCATGTGGGGCTGATGGGTAATGGTTAAATCCAGCAGGGAGAACCATTCGATATTTCACACACTTCTCAACACGGTTACAGAGCCTGGCGCTATTATAAATTGCTTCCCTGTGTAATATCTATTGAATAATAAAATTGAGCCTGAGATAATATGCTCTGGGTTTGAGATCCTTAATGGCACAAAACTCTCTCGAAGCAATCAGAGACACGATACCCACACTCCAATCATCCGTCTCACACACACACACTCTCACTGACATTCACTCTCACACACTCAATTACACACACACATTCACTCTCACACACAATCAGACATACTTACTCACACACTCACTCACAGACACAATCACTCACTCACTCACTCACTCACACTCACTCACTCACTGATTCACTCACTCACTCACTCACTGATTCACTCACTCACTCACTGATTCACTCACTCACTCACTGATTCACTCACTCACTGACTCCCTCCCTCCCTCACTCACTCACTGATTCACTCACTCACTCACTGATTCACTCACTCACTCACTCACTCACTGATTCACTCACTCACTCACTGATTCACTCACTCACTCACTCACTGACTCCCTCCCTCACTCACTCACTGATTCACTCACTCACTCACTGATTCACTCACTCACTCACTGCTTCACTCACTCACTCACTCACTCACTCACTCACTGATTCACTCACTCACTCACTCACTCACTGACTCACTGATTCACTCACTCACTCACTGATTCACTCACTCACTCACTGATTCACTCACTCACTCACTGATTCACTCACTCACTGACTCCCTCCCTCCCTCACTCACTCACTGATTCACTCACTCACTCACTCACTGATTCACTCACTCACTCACTGATTCACTCACTCACTCACTCACTGACTCCCTCCCTCACTCACTCACTGATTCACTCACTCACTCACTGATTCACTCACTCACTCACTGATTCACTCACTCACTCACTCACTCACTCACTGATTCACTCACTCACTCACTGATTCACTGACTCACTGATACACTCACTCACTCACTGATTCACTCACTCACTCACTCACTCACTCCCTCGCTCACTCACTCTCTCACTCACTCCCTCACTCGCACCGTCTTCACGAGGGCCTATTTCAGTCTAGAGCTCCTGACTGCACGTCAGACGTGTGTGTAGCCGCTTCATCAATGAATTAGCTTTATCAGTCCACACGTAATGAGCTTAATGTGCCTCGAACAGCCCGAAGGGAGCGAACCGATGACCCTCATTTAAAGTAAATCTATTCCTGAGAAACATCTTCACTTGAATGCTTTCTGTCAGACTGTAATCAAGGCTGTCCTGTCCACACACTCTTACACTCTTAAACCACGAGTGTACAGTGCAAATCTGCAAACCGCCACAACATCAACGATAATCACACTCTAAAATATGCTGGGTTGGTTTAACCCAACTTTGGGTAAAAAATGGACAAACCCAGCCGTTGGGTTACATTTTTAAATCGCATTTTTAATCCAATGTTTTGGGTTTGTCCATATTTGACCCAAAATTGAGTTAAAACAAACCAGCATTTTTTTTTGTCTACATCACTCGTAACATGTTTAATAGTTGACAAACAAAACTGTTCATGTTCGTCATGTGACGCATTTAAAAAAATTAAAAAATAAATAAAAATAAAAATATAATCCTAAAAAAAAAAAAAAACTTTCAAATTGTAGGCTATTCATTAGAATTGCCCGGATGGTGGAAAATACACTTAAATGAATGTATTATTAAAAGTGACAGTGAAATGTAGTAGTTACAAAAGATGAATGTTCTTTTGAACTTACTCAAATAATCCTGAAAAATTAAATGCATCACTGTTTCCACAGCACAGTTTTTAACACTGATAATAATCATAAATATTTCTTGATCATCAGATCCTCATATTAGAGTGATTTCTGAAGGATCATGTGACACTGAAGACTGGAGTAATGATGCTGAAAATCACAGGAATAAATTACACTTTACTATATATTCACATAGAAAACTGATGATTTAAATTATAATAATATTTCACTATTTCTACTGTATTTTTGATCAGTAATAAATGTGGTAAATTTCCCGACTTTAACCCTTTAAAGGCTAAAAATAGCTAAAATATGTAGGTTTAGTTTTTTTTTTTACTGTAAAATTCACACAATATGCTATTTTCAAATAGAAGGAGTCATTTGTTCCTCAGAAAACGAATAGCTTTCAATAAATTACAGTTATTGAGCATTTCTGTGCGTGGCGAGATTGTAATTTGCATTTAAATTCAAGTGTGTGAAAAATTCCAGTAAATGGGGATTGAAAAAAAAAAATCAGAAAAATCATGAACGAAAGAATATATATATATTGATTATACAAGTATTTGTATTATAATTGTGATGATTATGGCTTACAGATATGAAAACCTTTTCACAATATTCTAATTTTGAATTTGGGGTTTAAGCCATAATCATCACAATTATAAGAAATAAAGGCTTGAAATATCTTACTTTGCATGTAATGAGTCTATATAATATATTAGTGTCACCTTTTAAGTTGAATTACTGAACATTTGCAGCCTATTCTAGTTTTTCCAGTTCCACCTGTATGATTTTATGCAAAATGGAAAACCGGTGAAGATTAAGAAGTAATAATAACATCCGAGAGTCGTTTTTATTTAAACTGAAAGGTTAAAGGCGCAGAGAGAACTCACACAAATCTACTTCTCTTTATCTGAACTCAAAGGAAACAATCAGCATCACAGTTTGGCTCGCGGACTCGGACTCGACCATTACTGAGTCTCGGCAGGCCCCAAACATGAGCGCTGATGAGTCTGTCTGAATCCACACTAATGGAGGCCATTCTTCAAGCTAACCTAACGGCCGGAGAACAGCAGTCCGCTCACATTTTACCTCCAAATGGGTCCAGAAACGATGCCGGAAGCTGCGAGGAGACGAACGGGCTTTATGAAGCAAACCACGACCATCACGCTGCGGGGTCGGGGAGAAGCACCATATCTCTGCAGAGCAACCCGTGAGCTTATAAGACGGGGAAGATAAGCAATAATAAAACACACAGGCCGCTCGTAACAAAGAAAGTCATAAAAAGCAAAAGCAACATTACTATCATGGTCACTGGAGTGTTGCGGTAAAGACAAAAGCAAGCTGGG